GCTGCCGGTTTTCCATTCGGTCGGGCCTGTCTGCCGCGTTCGATGCAATATCGAGAATACCCGTTGGCCAGGAAGAGACGCTGGAGGTATCGTAATTCAAACTTCTGGTTCTGTGGGTCGCTGCAGTGTGTTTCCGTCCGTTTGTGTAGCGTCCACACACAACTGCGTCTGTGGCATGCCGGGTGCTTGCTATGGTGGCTTAGGATTTGGCGCGTATTGGTGGCTTTCCTGTACACCGTCGTTTTGAGGCTCCCATTGGGTTTCGATCGACGAGAACGCCTAGTAACGGCAGTTGGTTGTTGTTTATAGCCTCCATCGTAAACTGGATTTCAGGGAAAACAGAATTCAGGAGATCGTGCAATTCCTGAACCTTTTCTCGCTCAATACTGACAAAGATATCGTCAACATGTCAAGTCCAAAACTTGGGCCAATAGTTGGCGACCACGATAGCCTCTTATTTTTGGGAACTGCCTCTGCGGCGAAACCCGAGAGTGGCGATCCCATTGGCGTCCCCTTGATCTGTTCGTATGTTGTCCCCTAGAATGTGAAGTACGTCCTCAAGCAGAATTTTAAGAGTTTGGCGAGATGTCTTCGTTTGACCGTCTCACCTGTCTCATCCTACTGGCTCTCCAGCAGCTCAGTGACCGTGTCGACTGCCAGGTCTTGTGGGATCGAGGTAAATAGATGTCGAATGATACCATGCCCTCGTCTTAGGTGGGTTGCACTCCCTTGAGACACTTTAGGAATTGAGTGGCTGAGCAAACCGTCGTGGCTGCGTTCGATGTCAGTGGCTTCAGATTTCGGAATAACCATTTAGCCAGATTGAATATTGGTGCTCCACGTAATGACACGATCGGCCGGAGGGGAATCCCGAGTTTGTGTACCCTTGGCAGACCATAGAACCTTGCTACAGGCGCGTCTGTTGGCTTGATGGCCAGTTGTACTGACCTGGTGATCGCCCTGTTACTTTGCATTTCTGTGAGCAATTCGTCCAGTTGCGTCATCAGCTTACTCATCGGTGCATCGTCACATGGCAGGTACGCTTGCCGGTCCTCCATTAGGGCTTTGGCCTTCTGAATGTAGTCGCTCTTATCCAACACAACTGTGGAACGTCCTTTGTATGCTGGGAGAATCACGATGCTGGTGTCAGCCCTTAGTGTTTTGAGTGCATTCTCCTCTGCTCGGATAATGATTGCACGCGGTTTGTACGCCATCACCAAGGTTGTTACCTGTTGCCGAATGAGGTGCTTTGTCTCGTCAGATTCTCCGGTTTGTTCGTGATTCGATACAACCCTTGCCACGAGGTTGATTGGATCTGCATCCGTGGTGTTGAA